ACTATGGGGGAGGGGAGAGAGTGATAAGGAGCACCTGGGGAGGGAAAGGGGGTGATAAGGAGCACTATGGAGGAGGGGAGGGGGGATAAGGAGCACTATAGGGGATGGGAGTGGGTGATAAGGAACACTATGGGGAGGGGAGCGGGTGATAAGGAGCACTATGGGGGATTGAGGGGTGATAAGGAACACCATGGGGAGTGGGGGATAAGGAGCACCATGGGGAGGGAGTGGGGATAAGGAGCACCATGGGGACCAGAGGGGGGGGTGATAAGGAACACCATGGGGAGGGGAGGAGAGGGTGATAAGGAACACTATGGGGAGGGAGGGGTGATAAAGAACACCATGGGGAGGGAGGGTGATAAGGAACACTATGGGGAGGGGAGGGTGATAAGAACACTATGGGGAGGGGAGTGGGTGATAAGGAACCCTATGGGGGAGGGGAGTGGGTGATAAGGAACACTATGGGGGAGGGGAGCTGGTGATAGGGAACACTATGGGGAGGGGAGTGTCACGTATTCATCCGCTTATAAAAATGTGGTTAATGGCATTTACTGTCCACACAGGAAAAGTTGTGCGGAGCAGCAACCAAATCCACAGAAGGGTTAATGCTGAGCAGCAATTATGCAAATGAGATCCTGGTAACAGACTTTGGGGTCAAAGGCCGGTTACAGCCTATCAGACGTAGAGGAGGGGTATTTAGGCCCAGTTCTCATCCTGCTCAGTGCCCTGTCGTGGTTTCCCTTGTGGTTGTCCGAGAGCGCGTTATTGATTCTGGTAATTCTGGTTATTTGACTTTGGCATTGTTTTTGACTTCCCTGTTTTCTTGCATCCCTGACTCCTGGCTTTTCCTTATCGTTGTGTCTCTTTCTGTATCACTTGACCTCGGCTATTCCTGACTATTCTTTGGTACGTTAGTCCGGCCATTCTAAGGTCCGGTATACGTTACCTATCAGTCCTCTGTGTTAGACAATTCTACGTGCTGGATCATTCTGTAATCCTCACAGGGAGTGGGTGATAAGGAACACTATGGGTCAGGGGAGGGGAGTGGGTGATAAGGAACACTATGGGTCAGGGGAGGGGAGTGGGTGATAAGGAACACTATGGGTAAGGGGAGGGGAGTGGGTGGTAAGGAAAACTTTTTTTTTTTTTTCTTGTTTTCCTACTCTAAAAACTAGGTGTGTCTTATGGTCAGGTCTATCTTATAGAGTGAAAAATATGGTACTACATTTTAACCTAAGAATGTTCATTGAGCTTGCTGTAGTGCTTTGTGTCTGAAGTCTGTCATATTTGTGAGAGTTTACAAATCGGAGGCAGATGTCACTCAGACATCCAGGCAGGTTTTCTTCCATTATCTTCACAGATCTATTGCAGGCCTACTACAGATCATGGAGACACCGGATGAAAGTATGTGTCAGGAACCAGACAGAGAAAGATCTAGATGCAAAAACACCTTTATTTAATAAATAACAAAGAAATAACCAAAAGCAAAGTCCAGGTAGCAAGCAGGGGTCAGTCACCAGAGCGGGTAGTCAGACGAGCCAGGATCAGGAGAACGGAGGGCAGCAGAGTCAGGAACAAGGCCAGAGTCAGGAACCAGGAGCAAACAGGAAACACAGGAACAAGGAGACTTCTGGGGAACAGGAAACCACGCAAGGGCAAGGAGGTTCTGGGATTTGCTGCTTAAATAGGCTGAACTGATTAGCAGCAGGGCTGGTTACTACTATCAGGTGAGTAACCTTGGAAACATGCTGAAGGAGCTGATCGTTAATTACAGCTGAAACCTCAGACACTGAAAAAGGAAGGGTGGCTGTTTAAAACAGCAAAGGAACCCTGACAGTATGTCTGGGACACAGTGGGGGGCTTCCAAAGTCTGCAGACAGCAGGTTACTCTGGGGTATTTCAACTAAATTTAAAAAAAAAAAATAGTGGGGGGCGGTGCCTGACCGCCAAGCTGTGCGGACACGCAAAGCACGAGCTCCTGCCTGGCGGGCAGAAACCGGGGTAAGAGCGACGGCAGATCTGCCAGAAAACCACCGAGGGTACACCACCCACGTCGGGGGTGTCCCACGGACCAGATCGAGACCACCCCGGAGCCTGTCGGAGCTCCGAGAGCGGGAAACCAAGTGCGGCCTACTGGGATTAGGGCCGGGGAGAGGCGGCCGCTCTCCCCGACACCGGAACCCTTCAGAGACCTCGCATCTCCTAACCCCTCCCCCCGGACCAGTGGGGGACATCCCGGTCCACACTGGACACTTGGACTGGCACGGAGGGCAGCTGAACAGACCACACAGCAGGCAAGGGCACCAAACTACCAGGACACAACCAAAATGGTCACCCAGCGCGGACCTAACGAGCAGAGTACCTGCGCCCAGCCACCCACATACCTCCTGGGGGCCTTAGACCAGATCTGCGCAAGCTTTTGGGCCACACTGCACAGCCGCGGAATGACCCTCCAGCTGGCGGTGAAAACTGTGGCATCATGGGTCCGACCCGCAACGAGACGCCGCTACTACAGATGCCTGCCTCAAGCTCCCAGGACAGCCATACGGCGACGCAGATATCTGCAATCCCCACGGCGGGAAAAGGTACCACGAAACTCCCACTCCCAAATACACATGAGTGGAGTAGCCTACCAAACCTCTCACACAAGCACCCCACCTCACCTGAAACTCTGCATCAAGCGCAGCACGACCCAGCTCATCACTACCAGCGCTGTACACCAAGCAATCAAGCGGCGGCACATCCTACAGGTCACTACAAGAGCAGACTCCCACCACAGAAGCACCAAAGACAGGGCACATCCAGACACCAAGAGAGACTTCCCTCCTGTGGGTATAGGCTGAAGCACTCACATTCATGTCCAACGGCGGGCACACCGCTCCAGCACCCTGGGAACCCCTTCTCACCTACCGCTGTGTGGACAATAAGCACCAAGTATCTACTGAGAACATGGACGCTAAACCCTTATGATACCCAATTGCCAGCATATGCCTGTAGCAGACTAGCTAAGATGAATGAATGATTGACAGAAAGTCCCAGCATCAATTTATTTAGCTGTAGCACTCTCAGCTCATTTAGTTAAATTTTAATCTGTCTAGCATAGCTAGTCAGGGTGGAGGGTAATAGCTATCTGCTCTCAGCGGACCTTCTTTGTTCATTTCTTGTGTCTAGCGAATTCTTCTTTAAAGCAATATCTAAAGAAAATGTGGCGTTGACTGGCAAATAGAGTCAGGTTCAGTATCTGTATGCTTACCTAACCCTAGTCCACATTCCCTGACACACAGAGTTTAACTATTGATGTTTTACAATTACTCTAGCGAGAATCTACACTGTTGAAACACTAATCCTAATAACTTAAAAATGTGCCTGACTAACATATGTCACAACCTGTATAGCAAATGTTTTCTAAACTTATCCTGATGTTGCTGTTGTGGCGCACCAGAGCGGTATGTTACTATTATGCACAACAAAAATAAAGAATTAAAAATAAAATAAAATAAATAAATAGTGGAGTATTTCTTTAAATGATCACCTAAACAACATAACCACTACCGCACAAAGTAGGAGTACCTTGGTGCCCCCCAGGGTAAGTAATGAAATAATTTGCTAATGGTTGGACAACTTATCTGGTTGTCCGTCGTCTCATTTATGAGAGCCATCTGCATTAAAGGATCACTGTATGGTCAGGAACACAAACATGTATTCCTGACCATATAGGGTTAAAACCACCATCTGGTCCCTACATGTCTCCCTAAAAAAAAATAGCAAAATCTTACTTGTATTCAAGCCTGGAGCTGCAAGCTCTGGCACTGTTTCCTTTAGACCTGCCCACTGCCTGCTGACATCAGCAGAAGTGGTAGCCTGATCCAATCACAGTGCTTCCCCATAGGATAGGCTGAGACTGACAAAGAGGCAGATCAGAGTCAGAGCCAGCATCATTCAAACACAGCCCTGGCCAATCAGTATCTCCTCATAGAGATGAATTGAATTAATGAATCGCTATGAGGAAAGTTCAGTGTCTTCATGCAGATGGAGGAGATACTGAATGTTTGGATGCATTTTAGGCAGCCATGACCCAGGAAGGATCTCTAACAGCCATCTGAGGAGTGGCCAGTGAAGTTATCACTAGGCTGTAATGTAAACACTGCATTTTCTCTGAAAAGACAGTGTTTACAGCAAAAACCCTGAAGGTAATGATTCTACTCACCAGAACAAATTCAATAAGCTGTAGTTGTTCTGGTGACTATAGTGTCCCTTTAAGCCAATTCCAGCTAAAAGTGATCAGATAATACTCTCAACCAATGAGTCAGCCATGCACAGCAGGGTTTACCCGATGAAAGCCAGCAGAAGCTCCAAGCAAGAGCTTCTAGCTCTCCATTGAGGAAGTAACCGGCACTTGGCAAGCTTCGGGTAAAAATGTAAACCGTTAGCAAATTATTTGACTACTTACATTCGATGGCACCAGAGCAAGCCTGGACAGTTTGGAACAAGAGCTCACTTATGCATTGGGAAACCCTGCCCCTACACAGGCCGTACCTCAATTTAAAAAATCTAATGTATTTACATATTGAAGCCTTACTCTCCAGAATAGCAGAGGCTGCTAGATCAGAGGAAGTTTCTGAAGGTGTCTGAATGAGAAACCTGTTGCCAGATGAGGGTGTGCTGTAAGTCCCTGTTAACTGGAATCTACATTTGTAGAGCTTTTTGAATAAGTGAACTCCATAAAGATGTCAGCAGTAGGTATATGTTAAAGTCCATTTTCACAATGCAGGACGATCCTCGCCCATGTTAGAATCATTGTCAATCTGTTACACAGGGTGGTTATTACATGACTGGGATACCCTATTGATTGGCCTCCACTTCACTTAGTCCAGTCCTGGCATGTCAGTAAATGTAACAAGACACCTTGTAAGGATGTTTACTTCTATTAACTATACTCAAACAGAACAATTTGTTTCTCATTCCAGAACCAGTTCCTGCGCCGGCGATAAAGACTGAACAATTGATAAACTCCACCATCTGGTGTAATTTTACTCTCCATTGCTCCGTTCCTACAATCACCTCCACACTGTCCGTCAGCTGGCAGTGCAGACAAACAGACACTGAGTACTGTCCCTTTAATCACACAGTGTATAATAAAGGGCGCACAGTCCGGATCTCTCTGCAGCCACAGTCACGTAACTCGCAATTCCTGTGTTTGGTACAAAACCCTGCGGACAAGAAAAATGTGTCTGTTTATACTCAGGATATCTGTCCTGAATTGGGAAACAGAAAAGGGTCAAGTGAGTGACATTTTTTAAAAAAAAATTTATTCAAAGTTTTTAATGTAATTATCGTAAATATCAGTCTTATTGAAAATATTCTCATAGAAAGAATACAGCATCATTAGTGAAGATTCAATAAGTTAAACATAAGTAGCACTTAAGCATGTTACATAACATTAATGAGGAAGTATCAAATCAGGAAAACTATAAACCGAGGGAGTGACAAGAATAGTAGCAATGCACAGGAAAGGCGACCTGATGTCAGTTTTCTGGCCAATATCCCGACAGCTCATTTTAGAGTGGGGTCCCAACATGTTTGAGTGGGGTTGATGTGTCAAGATCCAACCGGCACCCTCCCCTCAATCCAGATCCAGACCAGGACCCAAGTCTGGCTACTAAGTCTCTTTTCTAGGAATTAATGTAGTGAGGGACTTGGGAATTGGTCATTGTTACGATTGCCCCCGGTCTAGCAGGAGGGTTGATCGCTTGGATGTCCTGGTTCCCGCTGTAGAGAGTTGAACGGAGGTCTTTCGGTGATAAGTTGCAAATGTAGAATATCCCCAAGCACGATATAAGCATCAATATCCCGGATCCCTACAACATGAGTCGAGGCTGCAAGTTGAGGGTCAAAACGAACTGGCTTTACTGGCACATAGCATGGCAATTTATGTGATTCCTCAGGTCCAAGGACAGCCCCCTGTGGACCTGATGGAATACAGGTACAGTACAAACAGGTAACCAATCACAGTACACTGTATCATTTGAATTAGTACCCGCCCAGCTTGGAGATAATGAGGCCAACGGTTTTGCAATCTAATTATCTCCAAGCGCACAAAAGACCACGTTTTATTATGTCCCAGAAAACTGCATGAAAATCTATAACTTTTACATTATTACAGGGAAACCACTCATTCTACCATTCATCTAAGGGCTCGCGTTCGTATATATTAAACATGCGAATGGCGCTCTAATCCCACGAACAGAACGGACTGTTGCTGCCATATAAAGTCCGTTCGGCATTTTGGATTGTTAGTCTCTGTTGGCGGCCATGTTTTCTGATGGTTTAGCGGGCAGCGGGACCTCGCTTCTAACTCGTGGAACTAAACTCGGTATCAGTTCATGCGAAGTCCCGCTGTCTGTCTGGTAGTGGAACTCGTTCGGTACGTGAACGAGGACCACCTGGTAGCAGGGTACTTGACCTGCGGTTAACCGCAGAAACCACAGTAATGATCGCCACGCGGCCCGCTGTAGGGTGTCGTAATTCGGTTGGTAGTTCGGTAGATCCCGTTCGGTATTTTCGATGCGAACGTCGATGCCCCCAGGCCTATCAATTAAGTTGTGGTTAACCGCAAACCGCAGCCGCCTGGATGGTTAATGGCTGCCACACGCCGCTGGCCGGGTGGTCGAGCGTTCGGTAGTTTGCGGGGTGACGGGGTTAAGTGGCGGCACACGCCAAGTTCTGGGGGGTCCCCTGTTCGTACCACGAATGGAGTCTTTATAATGGTTCGGGTAATCCATTCGTGCGTCTTTCGTTTTAAACTTATACAGGGACAGACAGTATCCATTGGTTAGCAAACAGTAACATAGTTATTTCCAGATTTTTGTAACAGTCATCTGTAACGCCCCCTCCCCACCACACTTACAATCCATGTGAAGAGTGGAAGTCTTGGTAAGGTTGCAACATGCTGTCCCCAGCCCGTCCCTCCACACTCCTTTCCTTAACTGTCTCTCTGTTTTCGTTTTAAAATTTTGTATTTTTTTTACTTTTTAATTTTGCCCCCACTTGTCGGAGTGTTATGATTAAAACAGTCAGTCCTGTCCCCTCCGCCCACTAGTTCCTGGCCAGCTCCCGATTGTCGCATGCGACCACTATCGCTAGAGTTCCAAATATATCTTTTGGTTGTGGATATCAGAGAGGTAATAGGAGGTGAAGAAAAGGAATTTCAGAGTGGACACAGAAAAAGGTGGGTAGATAGCGTATAAAGTAGGGGTGCCCACCCCAACCAAATCTCGTTCGCCAGAAACATTATCCTAGACTGCCACTTCTCAACAGGTTTATCAGGTGAGAGATTCCTGAATCGACACATGCTTAAAGGACCACTATAGGCACCCAGACCACTTCAGCTTAATGAAGTGGTCTGGGTGCCAGGTCCAGCTAGGGTTAACCCTTTTCTCTATAAACATAGCAGTTTCAGAGAAACTGCTATGTTTATAAATGGGTTAATCCAGCCTCTAGTGGCTGTCTCATTGACAGCCGCTAAAGGCGCTTACGTGTTTCTCAGTGTGCTTCTCATTTGCTTGTATGCTTCTCATTTTCAGTGAGAAGACACCAGCGTCCATAGGAAAGCATTGTGAATGCTTTCTTATGAGACTGGCTGAATGCGCGCGCAGCTTTTGCTGCGCATGCGCATTCAGCCGAAGAGGAGGAGGAGAGTTCTCCACCCGGCGCTGGAGAAATAGGTAAGTTTAACCCCTTCCTCCCCCTAGAGCCCATTGGGAGGGGGTCCCTGAGGGTGAGGGCACCTTCAGGGCACTATAGTGCCAGGAAAACGAGTATGGTTTTCCTGGCACTATAGTGGACCTTTAAACTCCCTCACTGTGTTATCCTCTCACTTCAGCTGGAAGGCTATTCCATGCAAGGCCAACCCTGGGAGGGTGCACGGGGTGCACTGCGCCCAGGCGCCAGAAGTAGGGGGGCGCCGCAAGGGCCAGACTGTTCCCGGCAGCTGGGGCTTCAGTGCTGCAGATACACATTCATGCTGGGGGCCTGGAACAGCACTGCACTGTGTTTCCACTCAGAGCAGCTGTGAGCCATAAGGAGCAGGCAGCCAGGAGTATCGAATCTGGAGAGAAACAGGGAGGGTAGTAATACTGCTCCCTGTCTGACAGGCAGTGAGCAGGGAAGCCAGAGCAGTTGGCAGGTGGAGAGGGTGAGCAGGGGCAGTGAGAGCTGCTGGTAGGGGGAATGGTGAGCAGGGAAGCCAGAGCTGCTGGTAGGGGAGGGTGGCGGGGGTGCAGAGTTGCTGGCAGGGGGTGAGAGCTGCTGGTAAGGGGAGGGGGTGAGCAGGGGAGTCGAGAGCTGATGGTAGGGGCAGGAGGTAAGCAGAGAGGTCAGAACTGCTGGCAGGGGGAGGGGGTGAGTGGGGGGAGGTGAGAGCTGCTGGCAGGGTTTGGGGATGAGCAGGGAGGCCAGATCTGGAGGCAGGGAGAGGGGGTCAGGGAGGCCAAAGCTGCAGGGAGGGGGAGGGGCGTCAGGGAGGCCAAGTCTGCAGGGAGGGGGAGGCGGGTCAGGGAGGCCAGATCTGCAGAGAGGGGGTGGTCAGGGAGGCCAGAGCAGCTGGAAGTGAGCTTCCCTGATTTGTATTTTTCATTGACATGAGCATACTTGCTCTCAGAGCATACTTGCAGGACCTTTGACCCACAGTGTAACATTTATCACTGTGCTCCTGATTTCTCCATGTAATGGAGCTTTCTGTACCCCAGCTGGGTACCTCTGCACTCCATCAGACACCATCAGCACTGCAGTCCCCACGTCCTGAGTTACAACTTGGCTAGGACCTCGCAGTCCTCCACCCACCCTGGATCCAAGACCAGGATCCAGATTCCAGTGGGTTTACCTCTCCTACTCCAGAGAGTTAAGCAGGAACAGCTCTTAAAAGAGCTAGTGATTATAATCCCAGGGGAGTATAACGATATAGCAATCCCCTTTTTTTTTTTTTTTCACGTCGTGCTGGTCTCCCCTCGACTGGCCCTGCCTCTACGGCCACTACATTAAGCTGTGCGTGTCTGCTAGTGAGTGGGCTTGCTTGTGTGTGTGTGTCTGCTACTGAGTGAGCTTGTGTTTTTTATTTTAATGACCTTATGTATATCAGTGAGATTGTTTGTCTATGAGGCTGTGTATCAATCAGCTTGTGTCAGTGAGATTGTCTGTGTCTGCATGTGAGTATGCTTACTGTATAATTAAAAATTTTACTCTGAAAGGACCGATATTTTATATTGGAAAAAGAGAGAGAGAGATATTATATATATATATATATATATATATATATATATATATATATATATATATATATAAAGAAAAAAGTTAGGACGCACTCACAGGGCTTAATAAAGATGAAAAAATGTCTATTTTAATAATCCATGTGAAAAGTACAAGTGAAATAATCGACGTTTCGACCCTGTCGGGTCTTTTTCAAGATCAACTGATACAAGTCAAAACAGTGTTTATATATACAATATATCATAAGGCACTTACCAGAGAAGTGGATGGTGTGTGCAAGCTCAGCCCGTTACTACCCGGAAGTGAATGGAAGCCGGTCGTGACGTCACCCAAGTCAGACGCACGCCGGAGAGCAAGTGGTCACCATGGTGATCGTGATCACAATAAAACATGCGGGTGCAAGTAAAATGACACGGAGGAATAATGGAAGAAGTCTCCAACTACTATAAAGAATGGAAAAAAAATGCAAAGGTGCTAATAGTGGTCATGCAGACAAACTGTGAATGTTGTGAAAAAATAAAAAAACGTGCAAAAATGTGAAAACGAAGCAATGTTATTATTAATGCTAACAAGGTCATAAGCTGAATTGGCAAAGTGCCATATAAGATAAATAATGTTACCAAAAAGAAAGGAGAATATCGTGAACAGTAAGATCACAAACTCGGTACTGATACAAATATGTAAACGAATCAAACAATAACTTCATATATGTACTCCATAAAACAAAAGGGAAACAAAAAAGAAACAACCCAAACGGAATATCTAAGACAAAATGAGTCAGATGTAAATGAGGCTCCTAAACAAATGTCTCAAAAGGTGCTGAATATAACGTATAATTCATATATCCTGCATACATAGTAACCACAGGTAGAGTTAAAGCAAACAGATGAGAAATGACAATACGTCCTGAAAATACGTATATGAAAATATATACATAAATTACAAAAAACATAGAATATACGATATTTTCATTTAAACCTTTGGGGGTTACTGTATCTAGATGGTGTATCCAGTAAGC